CTGCCCGCCCACGGAAGGTGGAGCTGGAAAAACCTGCGGAAAAGGAGGAGGAAAAACCGGGATCCAAGGGGGGTTTGGGGTGGGTGGGTGGGGGTTTCTTGGTTATATTTCTATTATTAGAAGTCTTATAAAGAAATGTGTATTTGTAGAAAGAAATGCTTATAAATCAATTAATGTAATTATATAATTATGAATTTATATGATTGTATTATTTATATTATTATAAATACCATAAAGAAACATTTTACTAAATATTTATATTATTATTTATATTATTATAAGTACTATAAAGAAACATTTTATATAAATATATTATTGTAAGTTTTAGAAATGAATACGTATTTAGAGGAGTAAACATTTATAAATCAATTCATATTATTACATTATAATAAATTTATATTGTATTATTTATATTATTGTAAGTACTGTAAGTAAATATTTCATATAAATATTTATATTATTGTAAGTGTAAATAAATATGTATTTAGAGAAATAAAAATCTAAAAATCAAGCAATAAAACTTTATTATTAATTTTTTGTATTATTTGTATTATTATAAGCACTATAAATATTTTAATATAAATATTTATATTACTGTATTATAAATAAATGTATATAAATGAACATTTATATTATTATAAGTATTATAAATAGATATGCGTTCATATTAAGAAAATGTATATTATTCTTATCAGTACTATAAACAAGTTTATATAAATAAAAGATTATATTGTTATAAGCATTACAAATATTTGTTTACATAAACATATTTTTAAGTACTATAAATACAATATAAATATAATAAAAACACAAATAATATAAAATATAGATAATTAAAATAATATAAATTAAATAAATGAAATTATATAATAATAATATAAGCAAACATGCATAGTGTTATAAGCATTATAAATAAATATTTCTCTATATAAAGTTTTCTATTATAAGCACTATAAATTAATGTTTAGTTATGTAAATTAACATTTATACTAAGTATTATTAATTAATAACATTTATATTCATTATATTTATATAATTATAAGTGTTAGAGGTTTTAAATTATATTATTAAGTATAAAGTATATTTACAAATTATGTTACAAGTAAAAACATATTATAAATAACTAATGTTATAAATAATAAATACTAATTTCATAGAAAATACGTATTGTATTTATATATACATTTATTATCTATGCTTTATAGCATTTCTATTATTTGTGATGTAATTAATAATGACATAGATAGTATATTAATATATACATTAACAAAGTATATTTATGTATTATATCTTTATTAATATATGTGCCTTTAATATATATTAATATATTAATATATTTATTATGCTTATTCAATAAATGTAAGTATATATGATGCATAATGTAATATGTAGTCCATTAATATATAATTACACTACACATAATATGTTTATAATATACATAATTTATAATATATGATGACGATTTTTAATAATGAATTAATATTAAAAAGTAAATTAATAGAAAATTATAATAAATGTAATTAATATATTAATATATTTATTATGCTTATTCAATAAATGTAAGTATATATGATGCATAATGTAATATGTAGTCCATTAATATATAATTACACTACACATAATATGTTTATAATATACATAATTTATAATATATGATGACGATTTTTAATAATGAATTAATATTAAAAAGTAAATTAATAGAAAATTATTATAATTGTAATATATACTAATAAATACTTATTCATATTAAATATATACATTTTTTTGTGAAACCCAAAGTGAAGATCAAATCTTTTCACTGGTAAAAAAGGGGGTAAAAGGGAAAAAAAATCTGAAAACCCACGAAATTGTGGAAATTCGGGGGCAAATTCAGGCGCGGGTGGTTTCTCACCTGGAAGGAGCAGCCAGAGGAGGAAGCGCCACGTCCCGCCCGCGGCCATCGCTGGGAACAGGGCCCGGACCAGGAAACTGCAGGTTGGTTGGGGGGAAAAGCACCAAAATGGATGAAAATGATATTTTTTAAGGGGTGGGGAGCCCAAAATGTAGGAAGATGTGCTGCTTTTTGGGAGAAAAATGCTCTTCTTTTGGAAGGGGGAAAAGCCTGAAAATATAAAATTGCACTTTTTTTTTTTTTTTTGGGTGGGGGGAAGCCTAAAAATAGGAGCATTTTCCCGTTTTTTGGAGGGGAAAAAAGCCTAAAAATATTAAAATGATCCTTTTTTGGGGAAGAAAAAGCCTGAAAATATAAAATTGCACCTTTTTTAGGGGAAAACAGCCCCAAAACATGAAATTACAGGGTTAGGTCAGGGTAGAAAAAGCCTAAAAGTATAAAAATGCAGGTTTTTTTCATAGGGGGAAAAGCCAAAAATATGAAAATGCAACTTTTGGAAGTGCAAAAAAGACCAAATATAGGAAAATACAACGCTTTCTTTTTATGGAGGAAGCTCCAAAATACACATTTATTTATTTTTTTCGGGAGGAGGGAAATGAACCTTTACTTTGGAAAATGCACCCTTTATTTTGGGGGAAAAAAAGCCTAAAAGTAAGAAAATACACCTTTTTTTGGCGGGGGAGAGGGAGCCCTAAAAGATGAAAATGCACTTTTCTGGGAGAGGATGCCCCAAAATATGCAAATTGAACCACGAAGTGCCAGAAAAAAAGCAAAATGGAGGTGAAAAAAAAAGCAAAGTAATCAAAAGAAAATATGAGGAAAAAGGGAAAATGTAGGAAAAAAAGGGTAAAACGAAGGGGTAAAAAAGGAAATGCAAGAAAAAAGCAAAGAAAAAACAGAAATGGAAGAAAAAAAGACAAAAGGCAAGAAAGAAGGAAGAGAGAGAGTAAAATGGAAGGAAAAACAGGACAAAATGCAAGAAGCAAAAGCGAAATGTGAGGAAAAAGCCCCAAAACCTGAGGGAAAAAAAAACAAAACACAAAAAGTGAGAGAAAAAAACCCAAAATGGGGAAAAAAACCCCAAAAATGTGAGGAGAAAAACCCTAAAAACTGAACCTCCCCCAAAAGTGTGAGAAAAAAAACCCTCAAAGGTAAGAAATTAAATAAATAAATTAAACTAAATTGAGAAAAAGACCCAAAACAAAACACAGTGAGGAAAAAACTCCCAATGTGAGGGAAAAAAAAAAAAAACAGTGAGAGAAAAACAGCAATAGGTGAGAAAAAGCCCCCAAACCTGAGAGAAACCCCCCCAAAATGAGAGAAAACCCCAAAAGCAGAGAGAAACACCCCCCTCAAAAAAAACCCAACAGAACAACTAAACCCCAAAACTGAGAAAAAAAACCCCAAAAGGTGAGAAAAAACTTCCAAACCTGAGAGAAAAACCCAAAAGGTGAGAAAAAAAAACCCAAAATGAGGAAAAAAAAACAGAAAGTGAGAGAAAAACAGCAATAGGTGCGAAAAAGCCCCCAAACCTCAGAGAAACCCCCCCCCAAAATGAGAGAAAAGCCCAAAATGTGAGAGGAAACCCCCCCCAAATGAGGAAAAAAACCCAAGACTGAGAGAAAAACCCCAAAAGGTGAGGGAAAAAATAAATAAATAAAAATAAAAAGAGAAAAAACCCGCAAAAGGTGAGAGAAAAACCCCAAAATCTGAGAGAAAAATCCCAAAAAGTGAGAAAAAACCCCAAAAGGTGAGGAAAAAAAAAAACCCAAAAGTGAGAGGAAAAGGCCAAAGAAGGGAAGAAAAGGGCGATGCAGGAACCGAGCGGCCCCCCCGGACTCACCCCCGGCTCCTGTGCCTCAGTTTCCCTCCCCAGGAGCCGGGGGGGATGAAACCAGCCCCGAACTGAGGGTTTTATACCCAAACTGGGGCCTGGGAAGGGCCCTGGGGGGGGGAGGTGGGGGG